TTTACGATGAACATGCGTATGAATACTTCATTAGAGCAAATGTAAACAATTATTCTGCAGCCACAGTAGTGGTTTGTAAAACTTTAGGAAAGTCCTTTCAGAATTCTGACACAGAAATTACCAATAATTCTACTGAGACAGAAGTGGTTTAACAGGTATGGAGCTACGGACTTCCTGGCCAAGAATATCAAGAAGGTATAGTTCGATGTCGGTGATGACATGATGCTTGATTACTGCCTTTTCAAAAACAGGAATAGTAGTTTTGTACGGCGCACGGAAAGCTATTATATGATAAGGGAAGCTAGGATGCCGACAGAAGGGCTCTGCGCGCCACAGATGAACGGCTTCCATAATTTACTTGAAAAGAAGCTACCTTCATTGTTGATCTCTCTGTGCCACAGGATGGGTGAGTGAGTATGCATATTTCAGATGTTATAGCATGAATGGCGATTAGGCAAACCACCTGATCTTCGCACTTGGCCTGAAGCTTTATCTGGATTAGAATACGGGGTAAAAGTAAATAGTGTCCGGCTATCAGTATTAAATCGATCACAACAGGGCGCTAGAGAATTGCATACCTCAGTCCACATCCATCACCACACTTAGTGTAACAGTGCACACCATCAGTAAAATTTGCGTGTAATTTGAAACGTTAATCGGGCGGGTAGCCAGAAACTGAAATGGAACTTATGGGATGCTTTGCTTTTTGGTCGTCCACCGTTCAAACAGAGCTCAACAAAGTTCGGAAAAGCATATAAAGATATCGAGTTATTCAAACACCGTGCATGTAGGTATTCTGCTTCCGTGACCGATTTCTATTATTCATTGTGTTTATTTTGCACTCCAAATTGTTGTGCGTGTGTTCCTTCGTTCTTTTAACTGGCAGGCTTTTTACAGTCAGCGGATTTTCAGTCAAATTTCCAACTGGGATTTAGTGTTGTAAGTGAAGCTAATTTAAACTAAAAGCAAGGAGACATTGCACAGTTGTTTTCTCTTAGCTCCTGATCAGTAGCTTAAGCACCTAACAGTTCAGGTACGAATGGCTGATTGATATTGTGACTAACTGGCTTTTAGACAGGGTATGGAGTCACTCACCATTCAATTACAGAATTCACATCAGATGGACACGGTGCTCGAGTGACAAATTCTCAGGTGGCAGTTTCACTCATCTCGTAAAATTATTCTTCGTTTGGGCTACTTATAGTTTGTTAGTAGTGTGAGGACATGTAGATTGACTACATTCACAGGACGAAATTTTATTTGAAAATTACCAAACTCCCTTACATGATTAAAATCAGCGATTTGCCAGTTCTTCTAGAAGCAGCCCTTTAACCATCTTTGTCTGTAGAAAATCTGCAAATGACCACAAATGGAAAGAAGGGGAAATGTCGCCGAACACAAATACGACCCGGGTCAAGTGCAATTGTCGCAGGCGTCCGGGGCAATATTGCCGTAAATCCAAACTGGTTATTGGGACGTTCAAAAGAGATTGGCAATGCAAAGGTGCATGACACTTAGAACTAATGCTGCAAGATTCGCCCGTATCAGGACGGGACGTCCAATTACATATTTATTTTCCCATAGATGTGGAGAAAATTTATCCGACCTCCAAAATAATATAACGGAAGGCATTCTTCCAATGGTATTGTGAAAAGCCAATGAATTAAATTGTACTGTCAGGTTTGAACCTGCCGGAGTGTAGACTTTTTTATTTGGTCCTTATTTGATGGACGAGCTGAGTTATCTAGACCAGCCAGTCAGTAGTAGTGGTGATCAAATCACAGTCTGCAAACGCCGTCCAATCGATGAGATACCCTAGAATTCATGCGCCTGCCTTGATTGAGAACAAATTCAGTCACAAGGAATTCCCACCAGAGTCTATTCTATGTTCCCCTCATGGCTGCTCTACCGAAACGCACATTCGTTATCAGGATGAAAGTCCATGGACGGATATCTGCCTGGAGATGAAATTCGAACAGATTCAGTTGCCACACAACTTCCCCAACCACAAGTCATCAAAACGCAAACTTTGATTGTTAGTCAGTGGTGATTCGGTTCGGGCCATGGAATGCTGGGGAAAGACAGATGAGTAGCTGTTTTAGCCGTAAGATTGGAAGAAAAACCTATGATGGCATGAGGCCACAGGTAAGTTATGATCGAACCACTAGAGTTTAAAAATTACACTGAACTATACGCTTGTACCGGAGCCGGCCGCTCACATACGTGCCTCCCCCAAGCCAAGAAACAGTCCCGAGTTCCGGTGAGGCATCTCCAATAAGATCAAATATTGTGAATTCACCTCTCGGAGAAATCGAGTTGAGATGGCACACTCGGCAGGAAATGAGCAAGTCTGGTGACTGCTTGCAGTCTGGCGGAGATAATGGGCATCTATGGAAGTAACCTATCCCACAACTTATGCGGCCAAGCAAACACCGGTAGTTTGAAATTCACATTTTCACTTGACTCTACACTGCTGAATAAAAGTTAGTAGCACATATTTACAAGTCGTTTATGCGTCCATGGAACAAAGGCAAGTTATGAGGCAAGTCATGAGATATTGTACGCACTGTTTTCTTCTGACCACCAATATTCCGTACATTATTAACACCAGTAGTTATCTTCACTTTTCCGTTTCGGACGTGGTTAGGGCTCAGTTTTATCTGGAAGCCGGACAAAATGGCAAACTGATGAAAATGCACAGAGCTCAGCTGTACACCAGGTGGAGCCCATTAATATCGATTCAACGTTTCGGCTAACCAGGACACCCATTGACCAGCTATTCCAAAGATCGAAGAGTAGAAATAGGGGGGCAACGGAAACCCTACTGTTCATGTTTCAGATGTGGAGCAGTACCCGGCTTTTCACAGCCCTCAGGTGTTTCCCCCCATCAAGCTGCTTACAGGACGCAACTTATATGCCAACCAGACAGCCACTCTAATGTGAAGTAACTAAGTCTTATGTGCTGAAGACCTCGTTAGAAACAAAGAACTATCACACAAAAAAAGGCTGACAGCAAAGTGCAATCCAATAATGACTGTTATGTTCCTCTCAATTAATACGCAAATTACTAGACGGTTCATAACCAAAAACCTTGTGGTTTACCTAGATGAACACATACGGCTGGTTCCAGCACAATAGAACTTTGTAAACGGCACTCGAAAAATAGTATAAAACACTTGGTTAAAGAACAACATGGATGGATACTGAAGACATTGCAACTTAGTCCAATTTGTAGGAGTGAGTAGCTATATTAGACACCACATCCCGTGGAAGCATCAGGCAAGAAAAGATGCCTCGCAAACCACTTACAAAGGTTTAGTACAAATGTTACGTTGATTAGCTATCGGTGGGGGACGCACGAAGGCCTTCTTTCTTTCATCGGTACACCATGAAGTTCACCACTATTTCACCCTTTCAGACAAATTGATCTTATGACTCCCAATGCGCTCCGTTGGCAGGAAGACATCGAGGGTTTATTTTTTAGCAGAGTGAATGCCCTCTTCAGGTGTGCGTAGCTAAGTGGGCGAACTGGTTGGCCGAACTGGGTGCCGCGTTTTCAACGGCTGTCATCAGATAATTCCTATTTACAATCCAGGAAAATACTGGATCCGCGGTGTTGTTCCTAAAGCAGGAGAAATTCAGTTTCGCAAATCAATGTATACAGCTACTTGACTGGCCTCATTCGGTATTTGGGCGTTGCAGACCAGCAAGTACCTATTCTTACTTGCACAACACATACAAACCCGTCGGACACATTGCACATACCTAAGTTATAAGAACAGCTTACAATAACGGAGGAAGTAAAACAGTTCAAAAGCGTTCATAAGGACGTAAATCTCTGTATTAAGAGTTGCAACCCTCGATTTTATCCAAATTTTCCAGATGTGACGGACCTTAGTGAAGGGCATAACCGGTGAAAGAATCTACTTGATTATAACGGAAACTACTCACAAGGTTACTGAAAACTCTTCGACAGCCCACGACCGGTTTCGCCCTTCTTGGTGCTCAACAGGTAGGCGCAGTCCCCGAGTTTCCGTCAACCTTATGATCTATTTGAACCCAAATTGCACTGTTTTCGAGAAATACACTCATTTGCAAATCAATTTGGTTTTCACAGGAGACTCAGTTGGAAGACATCATAAACGAGAGACTCAATTGAGTTTCCCGTGAAAACCAAATTGATTTGCAAATGAGTGTATTTCTCGGAAATCTACTTGATCCTTCAACCAGCGTCTGAACTTCCGAGGCAATTTTCATGAACCTCTGCTACATGCTGAATACGCCACACCACTTTTCTCATCGTATTCTGCAAAGTTCATCTAACACATGTCCTCTACAAAAATGCTGAAACTTGCTGAAGTTGTCCTCGTGCCTGATTTTCTAAAGGAATTCTCACCAACGAGAGATTCAGCTGGGTTCCAGGTGACTCTCTCGCAAAACCAATTTTGTTTGCAAAGTTTCTTTACAAAGTTTCTTTACCTCGGAATGTTTGCCTACCTATTGTTTTATCAGCTCTATTCGCCTCCTGTGGAGGAGCGACTTGGTGGGTACTTTCAACATCCACTTCGTTATTCAACACGAATCGCAACCCGTACCATTGGACTGCAGTTATTGATTCATGAACCCTGTTTTTCCGGGCTACCGTAAGAAAAGTGTGGGACTATCCCGGCAAAACTTTTTGCACCTATCTGTCAGGTGGTGAGTGAAATGACAGGTCCTCAGATTTGAACACAGTCTGGATATTCTCACTCATTTGCCTCCCATTAACATAAATCGGACGACAAGCATGTGTTGAGCTGTCTCAAACTTATTAGGAGAAAAGCAATCCTCCGAAGGCATGTAACTTAAATTGTTAATTTAATGGAATAAACCACGATATTTTGCATTTTTTACTCGTATGCAAGCGGGTTGGACGTGCCCAGAAGTCCGTTCACCATCATATCGATCGGCCGGTTCAAAATTGATAAGCAACAAAAAATCCAGTCTCACTTAATTGTCAGACGAACATTGGAGCACAAGTACCGAGCTGAGGATGTTAAATAAGCTGCTATTCTGTACATTGATAAGTTTAGACATGTTACTCGTAAGCGCCGTTAAGGATGCCTACTGTAACGATTTGGTCCCAGCGCCAATTTCCCTCCCGGAAGTGGAGGCGCGATTTCCAATGTTTGGCAACACTGATAACTCACTGGAACTCATATTAGCGGAGGCAAAATCGGACAACTTGAAAAAAGTCTGGAGGGACTTTTGCGTCACAGATCCGTGCTCTTCTAATCGTGAGTGCACTTCAGTAATGCGAGGTGCTTTTTACGATTATGCAATGCACAATTTTGTCAATAACACGTTAGAACAAATAACCCTAGTGAAGAAGGAGAACTATATGGCTTATAGGAGCAAAGAAGAGGAGGGAGAGGAGAGTGGTTTTCGTGCTCTCTTTGAACTGAGTTGTATCTTAATGTGCCAATACATGCTGAAAACTGATGCTTTGAATGCATTCCAATGTATGTGTCCTGACCCATGCAAGTTCCAGTCTGATTGTCCAGAAGAATCTTGCAAGTCTTCTGGTGTTTTTCAACATCAGTATGAATGTACCTGTGAAGGTGCAACATGGGATCGAGAGTTGCACACTTGTGTCCCATCAAACTGGAAAGAACTCAGAGAGAACCCTATTAAGAACGTGAGTTTTAACATTGACTAGATAGATCGTAGACGTTTGAAGGCATATCGCCACATAGCTTTTTTCGATGTCTCCTAGTCATATGCTCTTGTTTGACCAACCAGAGACAGACGGTTCACAGTAGTTTTAATGTATGTACCGTCACACAGGGGTGACAGTGCCAGTTTAGTGGTCTGCGTGCTAATTGTACGCATAGTTTTTACGATTGGTTAGCTTGAAAATGTCTATGGTCAGGATTGCCCATAAGCACGAAAGACCGGGCATATGGTAACTTACCACAAATGTGCTTTAGATTATCATCATTACAATAGCTTTTCCATAGAGGTAGAGCTGACGTAGCCAAGCTGTAAACGCCTCGAAAATCGCAAAAATCTCAAGTATATTTGCGTGTATTCGTGGTCATCAAATCTTCTGTCTGGATTATCATCATTACAATAGCTTTTCCATAGAGGTAGAGCTGACGTAGCCAAGTTGTAAACGTCTCGAAAATCGCAAAAATATCAAGTATATTTGCGTGTATTTGTGGTCATCAAATCATTCTGTCTGGCACACAGATAAAAGAGAGATAAGTACGCGAATTTTTCCTCCTGGTTCGTGTTTGCAGCGTTTGCAGCACAGTAATGTTTAAAGTAATCAGTTATAGAATGTTGCAAGGACTTCATCAGAGGGCTGCAACTTCCATCCCAGTAGTTCATCTTTGGGATTGGTCTGTTTTTTCACACCAAAAACTCAAACAAGGGGCATTATAGTTAACGAAACAGATTAAAATTTAACAAACTAATCGTAACTATGAGTTGTCCTTGTTAATTTGTGGTTTTGATTTTCAGGACACTGAATATGATCCAACAGGTTGCAATGGAGCGTCCCACTGTAACAGCGAGGGAACGCTGTTCTGCACCACAGACCCAACCAGCCAAGTAAGTTTTGCACAATAGAACAAAATGAACAATAAATAGAACTTTTTCTAAAGAAAACTACTCACAAGGTTGCTGAAAACTCTTCAACAGCCCATGACCAGTTTTGCTCTTCTTGGGGCCCATCAGGTAGGTGCAGTCCTTGAGGTTCCTGATGAGCCTCAAGGAGGGCGAAACCGGTCGTCGCCTGTCGAAGAGTTTTCAGCAACCTTGTGAGTAGTTTCAATAATGAGATTATACTGCGTTATCTCGAATATCGTGCCAACTGAAACACGAGGCATCCTGTGTGCAGCACATTCAGTTGAAGAATATCATAGACGAGAGATTCAGTCGGGTCTTTCGTGAAAACCAAATTGATTTGCAAGTAAATGTATTTCTCGGTGACTTTTTCTAGTTAGCTGGGTTATTTATTACTTCTTTTACATAAAAATTCCCGTAGATGAAATGCTTTGGAGACAAAAGTGGCTCAGTTCAATTTTTGTAGCGGTTCGCGCTCCGGACGTTCCCACAAAAGTTCAAGAGAAAACTACCCCTATGTTGTCACCCGGTACATCATTTTCAGCCTAACCAAACTGCAGGAATAACGATGGCTTCGGCAAGGTCGTGGGATACTTGGACGTTCAACCGGGCCCAACACTGTTCCGCTTACTGATGTGTATCCACTCAAAAGGAAATCAGCGTGCACTGTGAAAAACATGGATGTATGTTATAAAGAGTAAAGCTGTCACTGGATATCCTTCTACCTTTTTAACATCACCAAAGAGTATCTTCCAATAAACCTCAGCAAACTGACGGTGGTGTAATAGAAACGAAATATTAGGTATCCTATTCGTATCGGGTTACTAAAACAAACTTGTGGGAGCCCGCTATATACTGCAAAATCGCACAGAGTAGGAGTTTGTGAGCGCTAACTTTGCATTTGGAAAAAAACGAGCCACCTGACTCAAGTGACACCCAATAACATGAATAATTTGTGACAGTTTAGTGGTAACCGACCCGCTTCAAAGACCTGTGCAGATAATCCCTAAGACTCTCTAGCTGTATGTCCATTTGAAGCCTCCTTTAGCATATTTTCTTATGTTGTCCTAAAATGTGTCTAGTAAGGTAGCAGAATTTCATGACCGTCACTAGTCCAGATGGAGCTTTTTGTGCCATTCGAAACCGTGTGTCTCTCAGGGGTCCACGCAATCCATCCATGGATCAACTACACCAGGCTCAGAACTTAAATAGGTCACCGCATACGTACTGGTGAGGAGATCAGTCTGAAGGCAAATCGACCGTTTATAAACAAGATAAACGGCAGCTAGAGTATTTCAGAACGCTTCACAAAGACGAATCCACAGAACTAAGTGAGGGAAACAGATCCTTCTAATTGCTGTTTTCCGTCAAGTTTTATTTGAATCCCTAACGCTCTAACATCGATCGCACCAACTGAAGCAGCACTGATTACTACGCTGTTTACAATCTATTGTTTGTGTTTATACGACATTTGATAGCTGTGTTGTGATTGGTCAGACGCAGTAAACTTAACAATTATCCGACTGGTCAACCTCACTCTCTGTTTACTCATGACATTGAAGGTAACCATTCCAGTGCTCCTATTGGTCGATTTCGATATCCAACGGTTTTAGGTCACTCTTCCAATCAACTTCATCAGACAGTATCTCCTGATTTTACTGATTTCATGCCTGACTTCTCTTCGGTCTCTTGGTCAGTACATTTTGCGTTCCGACTGGCCGGCTTGGTTTCTTATTCCGGAGGTTCAGCAGTTCTTTCATTTCATTGGTCGTCCTGAATCTTTCACTTAAATGTTGATCATCAGTAGAAGATTTCATCCGCTTCTTTCATTCCACGATTGTTTTTTTTGCCTGGTTGCCCGCTAGATTCAGAATGTAACTGTTGGACATTTGCCTCATGTTTGGACCTGTAAGATTTGTCAGTGTGTTTACTGACTTATTTGTTTTCGGAGCCCTGGAACTCGAATAACCCCTTTTTTTCTTCTTGCCTCAGATTCAAAAGTTGAAACCATGGTATATTTGATGGCTCACTTTACGTCTGCGCAAATGGTGTTTTCTTAATCTTGAAAGCACTCGTGGTATTGAACTGTATCTTATAGTATTGTGTGGAAATTTACACAGTAGCCCAGCATTCATTGAAACCTGGCATGGAAAAGAGAGTTTCTACGCAGAGCAGAGCTTCAGGATTGTCACAGTGTAGTGTAGTTCTGAAAAATGGTGACAGACGAGGGGTTGGCATACCCAACTTCACTACTATGGAAAGCCAGTTGTCAAATAACATTCGATTTGTGCTTGTCGACATCTGTATCATCATCATCATCATCATCATCGACAGCATGACATCAGTGTTCAACACCGATGCTTCACTGCCGTACAACCATGATTTATTTGAAAGCCCTGTTGTAAAGAAAAGAGTAAAGGTGGACAGGGGAGGGACTTATTGATAGCTTGCCACGATCATTCCGAGGTGCCTACAACTCCAGACATTAACTCAGGTGATCTGGTTAGAAACTGACAACAAGAACGTCATTGTATAGTCCTAGAAAGTCGCCACTACAAAAATAACATGCAAAAAACGATGTTTTCCGAACTCTTCTGTATCAGATAGGTGAATAATGGTATAGTATGCCCAAAAATTGACAGTCATTCACTCAGTTTACTCGCAACAGCCTTGTTTCACTAACATGCAGCAGAGAAATGTCCAGTCTCGTCAGACATGATCGATCGGTTGACTAATCTACCTAAGCAAAGTAAACTCTGTATTATCATACCACAGCAAGTTAGCTTCATGAGTGTTACTTCAAACCGTATTGCAGAAAGCTTATAGAACGCACTCCTGAACACCACCTTGGGAGTAATGAATGCGAGGCTTATTCGACCTTCTCTGCTATGGCTGTATCAATTTGATCGATTTCACTTTGATTACTATAGTCACAATCTGTGTTTTTCTAGCAGAAAGACATCTGTCATAGCTGATTGAAACTTGTATGATATTTACTACATTGCGAGCTCTGCCATAGTACCCATTTGGTATTGTAGCTGGATTTGGTCATGCTAAATATAACCGGATCCGCATTTTTAGAGACTGTTGTTCTTCTCAAGCGCTCACGGATTTAATGGCTCTCAAGGCTTGTTTCATTCTTAGGTGTTCCAGTGCATCTGCAAACCACAGTATTCCGGACCAAGTTGTTCTGAACTGATCGACGCATGTTCAACCAGAATCACAAACCCTTTGCTACCGGGGACGGCGGTAACTGTGGCTGGTGACACGGCGTGCAACGTGAATGTAGACGGCAATAAGTGTGTATCATACCTCAGTGCCGAATCGGATATGTCCTACCGGTGTAACTGTAACGAGAACTTCTGGGGACCTAAACCCGAACTTGGTTATGACAACTGTCTGAACAGAAGGACACTGTGTTCTTCGGTGATATGTGTCCATGGAAAGTGCGTGCCCAACGAACGTGGTACTCAGGTAAGTTCTAAGATACGTCGAACCCGCTATGACCCATTACGGCGGTCTGACTTATTAAGCGCTTTGTTCTATTGACTCGAAACAGCTCGAAGTTTGAGATGGTACAAGACGAAATGTTTATACAAAACCGCAGTATTTTAATGTATATGGATACATACTTGATTCGGATGGTAAAATCTCCTTCAGCCTCAAGGAAAATTCCCAAGTTCGGTCCTTGAGATCAGAAACACAAGTTATGAACTTCTTTTCTTAAAAAAGTAACATCTTTTTGCTGATTTCAAGTACACATCAAGAGATTAAGGTCGTAAGGGGTACGTCGACCCGAAGTTTTGATAGGAGATGCAATGTATTAATTTAACAGTCACTGTTCTCAAGTGAGCTGCCAGACCCAATCTACACATTTATGACTTATCCACGTAGATAAGGGATTTTAGATCTCACCTGTCTTCTCAATGAAAGACCATTTACAGGAGATATTTCGGAGCATTGCCCGAATCTGGTGGGAACACCGGAACGGCAATTCTGAAGTACGTCGAATGATATTCGGGAGGAATAACTCACCCTCGATAGATGAACTGATCACACTGCATAGGTTGCGCTGGCTTGGCCACGTGTTGCGTATGCCAGTCGACCGACTTCCTCAAAGGGTTCTTTTTTCACAACCACGTGAAGGGTGGGAGAGAGCCAGAGGCGGCCAAACAATGACTTGGCAGCGAAGTATGAAAGCCATTACCAACAAACTCAGCCGCGTTGGTCATCGCCGTCTTCCTGGATGGGGACCCCGAGACGTTCCACATCAATGGTTAGAGACATTGTCAGATATGGCCTAGTCGCGCCCTCAATGGCGCTCGTGCGTCCATTGCCTTCAATGCATAGCTTCTTTTC